CCCGCCCGAGGGTTCGGATCCCACATACAGACCGGTTCCCGCTCACTGGCTGAGTGAGGCACGGGAGCAACACCCAGGGTTGCAATCCCGTTGCCGGTCCCCGGTCCGGTACGGGGGCAACACTGAGGGTTGCGATCCGTTGCCGGACACGGAAAAAGACAAAAGACAAAAAAAAAAAAAAGAGGGGTAGTACAGGAAATTGGAAGGTGGTTCTTATTCTCCAGAGCGGTAGGAAACGGCCAAATTGACTTAAGAAGATGGAAATCTAAGAATGGTTATATGTGAAAGAAATCTGCTATAAGCCCATAGTAAGCCAGAATGACCACTTCTCCTTAAAATACAGGTTTTTATTACCCAGAATTTTATGTCATCTCAGTAGCACCCTACTAGAGTTGATACACCTGCTTCCATACCAATCTGTGTAATGCAAAAAATAGGTGTAATTCTGCTTTCTGAGATTTCGGATAGGAAGCCATTTTGGATAGTTCTTTCGTTTGTCAAAGAGGCCTAGTCTTGTGACACAAAGCATGATAGCTTCTGGTAGTTCTCTGGAGTAATGGGATGGGGATGTAGAGCATTCTCATTCCTGTTGTCAAACAGATAGAGAGCTGGGGAAGATGAAGAAAGATATCTGGTTAATGATCACTAGGAGAAAAATATAGGAGCTTTATTGATTGAGCCTAAGTATCTGAGCAGAGTCCTTCCCTGAATAATAAGTATGTGACTCTGTTACAGGAGAAAATGTCCACCTTGGTTCTGGCGATGGGCAACCCAAAGATTCTGGGCCACTTCCTCAAGTGGAAAAGAAGCTCAAGTGTACAGTTGAAGGCTGTGACCGGACATTTGTGTGGCCAGCTCACTTCAAGTACCACCTCAAAACTCATCGGTGAGCAAATCCAAGATCTCATGCTTGGAGCTTTAGAACATTGATGTTTCCAGAGGAACTTGTCTCCGGAATTGACAAATTAAAGAAAAGCAGGGACTTCAGCTAATTTCTGGTTAAGATGTCTTTTTTTTTTTTCAAAAGATGACCGGTAAGGAGATCTTAACCCCTGACTTGGTGTTGTCAGCACCCACGCTCTCCCAAGTGAGCCAACTAGCCATCCCTATATAGGGATCCGAACCCGTAGCCCTGGTGCTATCAGCACCATACTCTCCCAAGTGAGCCACGGGCCGACCCCTAAGATGTCTTTTGTTTTTTAATAGGAAGATTTGCATTATCCCGTTTACCTCATTCTTGATAAATTTTTAATAAGACATTAGACACCTAAAAATCTTAGAGCAAGAGTTCTCTAAAAGTCTTAGAGCAAAAGTTCTCATTATAAAACATAGTTTCTTTGAGAACTTAACAAATAATAACATAAGCCTGGGTCTGTATCCTAAACGTATGAAATCAGTATTTTGAGGTGGGTAGGGGCACTAGGCACCTGTAGTTTTAACAAACTCTTTGGGTTATCCTGATGCATTAGGTTTGGGATTTAGTGTCTGCCTTGAGAGTCAATAGGAGCTTTGACTTATCATCTCTGGCCAAGAGTATTTTCAGGTATTTTTGCTTATATGGTTATTTTTGCAGAAATGACCGCTCCTTCATCTGCCCCGCAGAAGGTTGTGGGAAAAGCTTCTATGTACTGCAGAGGCTAAAGGTGCACATGAGAACCCACAATGGGGAGAAGCCCTTTATGTGCCCTGAGTCTAGCTGTGGTAAGCAGTTCACTACAGCTGGAAACCTGAAGAACCACCTGCGTATCCACACAGGTATGTACAGCCCTCCAATTCCCTTGGGCTTGCTTGCCTCTTTTTAGGGAAGGCTTAAACGGGAATAGAAGTGAAGATCTAGGGTTGTTACTAGAACTCTGAAGATGGGATTTCTTTTTTTCAAATGCCTCTTGGCACTTTTTGATTCATTCAGTAACATTTATTGAAATTCCATCTGTGTGAAGAATGGACACTGTTGATTTCTGCCTCCAAAAGCATTACATGTAGGAGGGGATGTAAGACCTTCTTAGATAACAATGATATGAGGAGATATGGACAAAATAAGTCTGTTTTCAAATCTCTCTGAACATTGCACAGTTGTAATTTTGGGCAGTAACATTTATTGAGTCAACAAACCATACAGAGCCTGTTCTAGGGGCTAAATGGAGTAAGGTGGGAAAAAATACAAAAGATAAAGATATAATTCCTGACTTTGAGGAATGAACCTCACAGTTAGAGCCACAAGTAGAGGCTGGTGTTAGAGCCTCACATGAGAAACAGAATGGAGAAGTAACTTGTTCTGGGTCACAGAGCATGTTAATATCAAAGGAGCAAAATGAGGACTCCTTGACTCTTAGTCTAAGAGTCTAAGGGTGATTTTTTTAAGCCACTTGGTGCAGCATGTGCTAGTCTCTTGCCAAAGCTTAATCACTGAACCCAGACCACTATCTTAGGATGTGTATGTAACTCTTCCCCACTTTCTTGGTCTCCCTTTTGCATTGCCAAAATCACAGCAAGTACAATTAAAGGGCATTTAAAAAGTGAGGCCTGAGCCAAAGCCACAAATTGACACGACCTCGGTATGTTTGGGGACAGAATAGTTTTGTTCTCAGCTCTTTCTTGAGAGAATAAATTATACTTGGCTTAATCACTGAACCCAGACCACTATCTTAGGATGTGTATGTAACTCTTCCCCACTTTCTTGTCTCCTTTTTGCATTGCCAAAATCACAGCAAGTACAATTAAAGGGCATTTAAAAAGTGAGGCCTGAGCCAAAGCCACAAATTGACACAACCTCGGTATGTTTGGGGACAGAATAGTTTTGTTCTCAGCTCTTTCTTGAGAGAATAAATTATACTTGGTGCAAGAAAGCAATTTAAATAAAAGAACAGGAAAACCATCCAGCCGAATAGATAAGGGAAGAAGTAGAGTTCACCATGCCTTATTATTAGATTCAGTGACCTCTTCATCCTTGTGCTACTCCTCTTTGTAGCATTAACACTGAACATCTTCTTAAAATGCTCTTTTACTTCAAAGTTTGACCTGACTTTCTCCTGTTTTTTTTTTTCTTTCCCTCTTTCTATCTCTTGCTAGCTCTCATCCCTGTTAATCTCTTAATTGTTCACCAATTTCATAATTTCAGGCCCCTTCCTTTTCACTCATGGTACTCTCTTGTAATCTCAGGCCTCAATTTAGTCATTTCTCCCTGGATGCCTCACAGATTGAATCTCAATAACAATGTAATAATAAAAGTTAGCATTTACTCGTATTGAGGTACTTTAATATGTACCAACCACACATACATTATCTCATTTAATCTTCAAGGTAACTTCATACATTATGTTATTTATTTATTTATTCATTCATTGATTTCTGTGGCTGGCCAGTTTGGGGATCTGAACTCTTGACCTTGGTGTTATAATGCCACACTCTAACCAACTGAGCTAACTTGCCAGCCCCAGATATATTTATAAATGAAGAAACAGAAGATTAGAGAATCAAGTAACTTGCCCAACATCATGAAAGTAGGAAATGGCAGAGCTGGAATTTGAATTCTGATCTGACTCCAAAGCTTTTCCGAGGATTTTATTTTTAAATGCTGACGACTCAGTTTATTTCAGGTGTCAAAATTGACCCCGAGTCTTTATTAGTAGTAATGATAGTAATTAAAGCTGCCAATTTTAGTAGCTTTCTATGAGGGCTTACTATGTATCAGACACTATGTTGAATATTTAACTTGTACTTTCTCATTTAATCCTCAAAATAATCTTTTGAGTTTATATTATCTTCATTTTATAGGTAAAAAGCTGATTCTCAGAGATCTTCCCCATACTAAGTGGTAGTGTCAGAATTTGAACTCAAGATTAACTGACTTCAAAGCCCATCTTAACCATTATGCTGCATTGCCTCTTGAACCTCCTCTTCCTTTTCCTGTGTCCCTTATCTCAGCACAATCACCATCTTCTCAGTTCCTAATAGGGAGGCCATGTCCCTTAAGCCAGCCTCATACGGAGATTTCATGCCACTAGATTCTGAAGTAGGATCGTTTTCTACATCTCCTTTTTCTTTAATTCTTTAGTTCATTTTGTTAAACATTTGACCTTGTTATTACTAAAACTATCTGTTTTTCTGACATTTATTCTGTCATATGTATTAGTATATTTTATAGCATTTTAGCGACTTTTCGAGTTGCCTAGCATTCTGGGATAGGTGTGAGTATATAGATATGCATTTAAGAAAGTTACAGACCTCTGGGGAATCACGAACATTAAACTGTATGGTATAGTCTAAAAGAACAGTATCCTCTAGGGAGTGCTGCTGCTCCTATAAGGCTCAGCTCCTGTGTTGTCACCATGCCAGCCTTAATTGCCATTTTTCGAACTTGCCTTGGGCACTCTCAGTTTCAAGGCTCTGCTCACACTATTCCTTGTGGCTGAAATTCTCTTTCGTTCTTGTCATCTTTTAAGACCAGCTCAAATCTAGCCTTTTTCAAAAAATTTTTGCAATTAGAATTCCATATTTATAGCACTTTTTTTGTACAGGAATTATATAAATGTTATTTATGATTACATTTGTTTCTCTCACACTAGTCTGTGACCATTGGAGGATAGAGACTGCATCTTTGAGTTTTTTCACTTTTGATTTTGAAATAGATTTACAGGAAGTTGCGAATATAGTACAGAGAGTTCTGTGTGTCCTTTACCCAGCTTCCCCAAAACGTGACATCTTAGGTAGCCACAGTACAGTATCAAAATTAAGAAATTAACTTACTGTCAGCTAGTAATTACTGTCATCTAGTACACTTTATTCAGTTTCAGCCATGCAGCTTTCACTTTTAAAATAACAAATATTGTAGAAAATGAAAATTACAGAAAAGCACAAATAATTTGTAATACCACTACATAGATATAGCCACTTTTACAATATTGTTACAGACTTTTTTGTGTACCTCAGTGACTATCTGTTTTCATTTGTTTGCTTTATAATATGGGACTATATAATAATCTATTTTGTTACCTTTAAAAAATCTGTACTTTTAAATGGACCTAGAAACTGAGTTTTAAAGAGAATTGATGTAAGGTAAAAGTCTTGACAGCATATACAAGGGTACTTCAAAAACTTCATAGAAAGATTTGTATTATCTTTTAATTCTATTTTTTCACAAAATTTTTTAAGTACCCTCGTGTACTGTTAATCTGGATTTCCTCAGAGGGAATGGATAGATCACTGAAGAAGAGAAGGCTCAGTGCAGCGGGAGGGGTCTGCCCTTGAGCCAGTAGGGAGAAGGAAGTATGAGGCTCAGAAGCAGCTGTTCTAGGAAAGGCAGGGCTGTCTGGTGGGCTGTATACTAGGAGATCATTGAGAGGCTAGGTAGCCCAGCTGAAATTAAATAGCATGAATCAAACAAATGAGAGTGAGTAAGTCATTAGAAACAATAAAGTTGATGGGAAAAGAGAATAATAGAAAGTTCATCAGAAGACTGAGTCTTTATCTCATTTTTTCTTTAGGAGAGAAGCCTTTCCTTTGTGAAGCCCAAGGATGTGGCCGTTCCTTTGCTGAGTATTCTAGCCTCCGAAAACATCTGGTGGTTCACTCAGGTATTAGAACCTGTGCTATTCGTAGATTTGAGGAAGAGGAAAGATAAGAGGGTAAAAGGGTGGGGTGAGGGGTGGTGGTATAAAGAAATCTAAAAAGAAACAGACTGCTCACCATAAAGGTAAATAAAACATCATCACATAATCAGAAATCAGGGCCCTTAATTGCATTGCATTCAAGGGCCTTATAATCCAGGTGGAGAATCTAATTATTGTTAGCTGAGTCACTGAGCTACTTTCTAACCTAGACCTTTTTCTGAGGAGATCAGCCAATTCGTTTGGCACTGTACTATGTGTTTTGTAAGTTATATCAAACATGCATCATGTTCTTTAGGAATTGACATTTTCATTTCTCTGAGGGAGGATTTCAAATCAGAAGAGAGTAGAAAGATTGATGTTAGTGGTAGCAGCACCAGTAATATTACTGCCTTCTGAGGAGGCATTAGTGATCCTGCTTCAGTCATCATTTTCGCAGAAACCATGCCTTTGGTGAATAGAACCAGAAACCCTATTGCCAAAAGGAGAGAGGAGTAAGACTCAGTGATCTGTTTTCTGTTTTGGACCTTTAAATTAATTCCCTATAACTCCTGTCAATTTGCTCATTCTATGCAGATGACGTGGTCTTCCCTGCTAAAAATGTCTTTTAAAATATCTGAAAATCTTCTGCAACAACCAGATCTTGTAAGCTCAATAGAAAAAGCTAAAGTGATATCCTTCCTTCCCTCCTACGCCAAACTCCCAAACAGTGCAGTCCAGGGAAAAATCTGTGTATTGTTAGAGGGACTGTTTCCTATGGGACATGGTAAATTACATTCAGAGTAAGGCTGGAAAGGTAGTTTAAGAAGGGCCTAGCGAGCCAGCAAGGAGAGTTTGTGGCACTTACTGAAGATACAACCTGATGAGAACTCAGCATACTGCAGATTAATCTGGCGATGATGCATAAGCTAAACTGAAACAGGAAGAGATGAGAAGACTGTTTTTTAAAATCTGGTCAAGAAGGCCTCTCTAGGGTAGTGGCAAGGAGCATGGAAAAAAGCCCAGTGGAAGAATATTCAACCCCACAATTGACTGGATATAAAGTGATATGGAAATAGATGTAGCAAGTGAAGACTATTGATTGAAGAAGCATGGTAGTGAAAATGAAGAAAAGTTGGCCTTTCCAGTTGTTAGGCTGGTTTACATATTTATGAGAAGAGGTTAGAAAAGTGTTGGAAGAGACAGTGATGAGTATTAAAGGGAGCTTGTAGGCTAGCTTGTAAGCTTCTTGGAGATGGGAAAATTCCTGGCACGTGGTAGGTTTTCAGAATTTGATTGACTGAGTCAATTAGAGTGATTAAAAGGATTGGGAAGTAGCAGTGAGTGAGGGCATAGCTGAGAGTAGACAGCATAACTTTTTGGTAGACCTGTTCAGATTTCATGGCTTTTCTCCAGTACTGCTCAACAGTTTATATAAAGCTGGGCACTGGAGAAAATGGACCATGGAAGTTATTCAGAGCAGAGACTTGCCAAAGATGAGGAGAACTCAAGACGGAGAGAGTCTAGAATGGAATCAGGTAATTGTTGAAACGTCTGGCCATGGAAAGCAAAGGGAAGCCAATACAGGAGTGGAGAGGAGGAACTGGGAATTATTCATGATGAGGACAGCAAGGAGCAAAAGAGTTGGAGGGGTAACCAATCAGGGATGTGAATTTCAGAGTTGAGATCTTAGGGATGAAGCAGTTTTTTATACGATGACAAGTTCTAAGAAGAGGCTCCTTTTGGCTAAAGATAAGATAATTTCTTTTCCTTGCATTATTGCACTGTCTAGAACCTCCAGTACAGTGTTGAATAGAAGGTTGAAAGTGGGCATCTTTGTCTTGTTCTCAGTGTTAGGGGGAAAGCATTTGGTTTTTCATGATTAAGAATGATGTTAGCTGTAGTTTTTTCATAAATGCCCTTTATCAAATTGAAGAATTTAACTTCTGTTCCTAGTTTGTCGAGAGCTTCTGTCATAAATGGGTGTTGGATCTTTTCAAATGCTTTTCTTGTGTCTATTGAGATGATCATGTTGTTTTTGTACTGTATTTTATTAATATGGTATGTTATATTAATTGATTTTTGGATTTGAAACCAATATTGCCTTCCTAGGATAAATCCCACTTGGTCTATAGTGTTCTTTTCTTATGATGTCTTTGCCTGGCTTTTTTTATCAGGGTAATACTGGCCTCAAATGAGTAGGGAAGTATTCCCTTCCCCTCTGTTTTCTGGAAGAATTTGTGTAGGATTAGTATTATTTCTTTAAATACTTGACAGCTTTCACTAATGGAGCTGTCTGTACCTAAGCTTTTCCTTGTGGTAAGACTTTTAATTACTGATTCAGTTTCTTGCTATAGATCTATTCAGATTTTCTATTTCTTCTTGGTTCAGTTTTGGTAATTCTTGACTGTTGGAATTGGTCTATTGACCAATTGACCTTGGTGTCATAACACTGCACTCTAACCAACTGAGCTAACCAGCCAGCCCTTTTTCTTGTTTATTCTAACCAAAGATTTATCCTTTTTTTTTTTTTTTTTTTTTTTTTTTAAGATGACC